TAATAATTTAGAGAGTACCATTTTGGATGCACAACCCAGTCTAAGTAGGATTAAGAATAAGAATTAGTTCAGGACTATTCTTTTCCAGGATTTCCCCTTGGGGATTAATAAAGTCTATCTATCTGTCTTATTTGACAGGTCACAAACAATACCCAGTAAATAGTATATGCTTGATGAGTTGTTTTTAATCCACTTTGAGACAAAAATCACAAGTGCCCCTTTGTTTTGAATTAACAGCACAGCACGTTTCAGTAGAACATTCTACATATGAGAAATTGTCGCTCAGACACACACACGCTTATGCACACATAAAGTACATGTGTGCAGTGGGGGCAGGGATGGTGAAACCACTTCCAGACAGCTCACAGCCTCCCAGAGAAGAGAGCAGCTGAGGTGGTGATTATGTAACCTGCTATTACATAAAAGTTATCACTACACTTAAACATGGCCACCCTGTAGATTTAGCATCATGGTAACAGAGGACAGGGTTGGCCTGCATCATGGCTATATGGACTAAAAATGGGTCAGGCTCTCAGCTCATGCCCCGGCACTCATCAGCATGGCTGAGTGCTTCTGAAAAGAGGGTCCCACTCCTCTGCCGTCCTAGGAGGAATATGTCCTGTGGATCAGCTGCTTGTGTTGATGTTTGTGTCACACAGTGGCAGACCAGTAGGAGATTCAGAGATGAGTAATAACCCCCTGTGTTCTCCCATCATGCCTGCTAATGTGCAGGCTCTTTTATCACACAGCTTTGTGCAGTCAACCCCCATGCACCAGTGTTTCATTAGGATGAAAATGTTTCTAGTATTTTACAGTATTATAGAATGTGCAACACTCACTTCTGAGGAAACAGCATGACTAAAACACTTACCGGACCTCTTGTAAACATATACACTAGAATTTCATATTTGAAAAAAACCGAGAAGCAAGCAGATTTTACTCCCTGATGATCAAACTGGACCATGAATCATTTCTGCCAAGCTGGTTTTGCAAAAGTGAGGTAAGCAAAATGTTTGGAATTTTCTGACAGTGAAAAAGGAATTTCATAATTCAAAACAATGACCTGAATACCACGGCAAACCTTTAAATCTCAACCATGGCGCTGAGCGTATGAAAAAATAATCATCAACACAAACACACATAAACAAAGACTAACACCATGCTCCCCCCAGACAAGACCAAATCCTCTAACACACATGCACACACATCTGCGGATTTTGGCTGGTGCTGCCACTGGCCCGTGCTAACAAACAACCGTCCTGTGCCTCTGCTCGCCCTCCCCCATCCCTCTGCCCCTGCCTCTCATTTGCCTGTCTTTGTCCTGTGAAGCACCACAGATCCAGCTGGTGGGGAGACTGATGCTTGCAGGCGGTGAACACCATCTGCTGCTCTTTACTAAGACAGCGGCGCTCAGCCACACTCAGCTGATTGGGAGTGAACACACAAGACACTACAGACTCCTAAGGAATAAAGAAACACACAGTACCTCTGTTGGACAGCAGGGTCAGACATGGCCGAGCTGAAAGTTCTACGAATAGTGGATGGACAAAAAAATGAATCATTCCTGGGTCTGAGAATAGTTCTCCATTTTAGGGAAAAGGGTCAAAGTATTTGCTTTCCTGCACAGACTAGATGTGAAGACTGATTTAACTCTCGTGTCTGTGCATTAAATATAAAACTAGAGCCTGGCAGAAAGTCTGACAGCAGGAGGATACAGCTATTCTGCTTTAACTTCTAACTCTGTCCAGAGATTTTTTTAAACATCAGCCTATTGCCAGCTGTACAACTCATGAATAAAAGAAATGTAGCTTGGTATTTTGGAAAATGTACACTGCAAACTATTGCCAAGACGTCCAAAGATTATGCTGTGGTATTTCACACCAAATTACATTAATATCACAGTATTATACTGTGACATTTCACTGTATAATACTGTATCAAGAATTTTACTGTGAAATCAGTGCATTCATGGCTATTACACAGGAAGTTACTGTAAAATTTGAATTTAAAGTTTGTCACGCAGCATTGCGAGATTGAAATCCTCACACTGTCTTTTACAGTGCACTTATTTGCTTTCTGTCATGACAAGACCGATGCACTTGTGTGTCTGTGACCAAACATGATGCTACAGTTAATTCAGTTTTGCAAAGAGCCTCGGAGCAAAGGAAACGGGCTAGCCTGACTCTGGCAATCAATCAATCAATCAATCAATCAATCAATCCATCTGCCAGCAGCAAATGAAAGGAACAGCTGCAGATTTTGGGAAATACGCGTATTCACTTTTCTGCAGAGATCTAAGATTAAAAGACTGATATCATTCTCATACTTGTA